CTAGGCAGGGGGGCCATGGGGCTCCGCGTGCTGCCCCCGCCCCAAGCACTGGCTCCGCATTCCCATTGGCCGGCTTGCGTGCCTCTGCCTAGGAGCTGGACCTACTGCTGGCTGCTTCAGGCGCAGCATGGTCCGCAATGCCAGGACAGGCGGGAAGCCTGTCTCTGCACCCCGGCGGCAACCCTGACCAGGAGCCGCCGGAGGTAACCCCGTGCCTGAATTCCCTGCCCCAGTACTGAGCCCCTCCCCAAACCTAAAGCCCCTCCTGCACCCCAAACCTCTGCCCCAGCCCAGATCCTCCTCCCACACCCTGAACCCCTCATTCCTGGCCCCACCCCAGAGCCCTCAACCACACACTCCAACCTCTGCCCCAGCCCTGAACCCCTCCTACACTCCAAACACCTCATCCCCTGCTCCGTTGGGTCGCGGGCATCAACACTTTTCTTCAACTGGGTCTCCAGAAATAAAAGTTTGAAAACCACTGCTTTTGGCAGCAGCAGGGGGGGAGAGCCATTTTTACAAGCGGACCATCGCTCCCAGCGGCAAAGGTCATTGAAGGGTACTGCTCTGCTAGAAATGTGCTACTTATGGTGCATCTGCTGAAGCCACTGCCCTTATACCCATAGGATTCTGGTGACTGCTTTTGACAGGGGTTAAAAAGTGGCAAAGAGGCCGAATTGGAGGAGGGGATTGGCCAGGGTCTGAGCAGGGGGTGGAAATTTACTGGTCTGGGGGGCAGGGCCGGCTCCAGCTTTTTTGCCGCCCCAAGCGGCAAAGAAAAAAAAAAGCCCGATTGAGCGGAGCGATTGAGCTGCTGCTGAAGTGCCACCGAAGAGGAAGCAAGGCACACCGCAGACCCGGATGTGCCGCCCTTTTCTATTGGCCGTCCCAGGCACCTGCTTCTTTCGCTGGTGCCTGGAGCCGGCCCTGCTGGGTGGGGGGGGAGGTCAAGCAGCTGGAGGCAGCAGTAGAAGAGGGGCTAAAGGGCAAAATCAGGAGTGGGGGTGGGGAGGAGGTGGAGTTAAGCCCAGAAGTGAGACGCTGGCAGAGGGTGTCAGAGGGCAAAACCCAGCACAGTCATGGGCACAGGGGGTAAAAGTTACCCCAGTGTGACTGAGACACCAGTGTTTGCAAAAATGGTGGGGGGCAGAGGGGATTTTTTATTTCCCCTCGCACAGACAGCACCTCTCAGCATCGGCTTCCCAGGGCTGGGTTCTTAAGGGCACAGGCACAGGGCTGGGTTCTTAAAGGCACAGGCATCCCAATGCCTAGCATCAATGCATCTCCTCTTTGTCTGATCTAACCTACTGAGGCTATGTTTACACTACAAATTTCAAAGCGCTGTCGCCGATGCCAGTGCTCCTGGTAATCCACCTCGTCGAGGGGATTCACTCCCAGCACTGGAAGCTGAGCCTGTCCACACTAGTGTTTTAAAGCACTCAAACTTGCTGTGCTCGGGAGGGGGTGTGTGATTTTTCACACCCTGAGCCAGCAAGTTAGAGTGCTTTAACTTGCCAGTGTAGATAATCCCTGAGATTTAATTCAGTGAAACATTTTACATATATCCCCTCAGAAACAACGAATCCCTTATAACTGTATCTGAATGCATAGAGTCTCCGAGCAGTTTCCCAAGTTGTCTTATCTGCTGCTGGGCTTCTCTGAATTCCCTGAATTTTTAATTCTAATTTTTTCTTCTCATTTTTAGAGCAGATGTTTATTCTGTTGGATCATCTGTCTTCCAGTCTGACTGAATTACTGGCCTATTGTCAAAACTTTGTTTTGAGTCAAGCCACCAATGGTGTAAATATTGGTGGTCAGACCAATAGTCCGCCTAATCTAGTATCTTGTCTTATGACAGTGGCCAATGCCAGGTGCTTCTAAGGGAATGATCAGACCAGTCAATGACTCATTGAACCATCCCATTGTCTACTCCCAGCATCTGGCAGTCAAAGAACGTTTTAGGGACATTCAGAGCATGGGCCTGCATCCCTGATTATCTTGGCTAATAGCCAATCTACTTATCCCGAGGGACTGATCTAATTCTTTGTTCAACCCATTCATAGTTTTTCCTTTCAAAATATAATGAACACACATCTACAACCCCAAGATACCTTTGCAACCACAAGAATTCTAAAATCATGAGTTATACACCCTTGAGTCAAGAAATTTTAATAAATAAATGATATCTTTTCTGGGGCCTCTTTGTTCCTGAGCCTGTAGGGTGCAGTAAGGCCAGTTCCAATGCCTTGAGCCTAAACACCTGAATGAATCTTAGTCTACCCTCATACTCCCAAACATTTAACATACCTAAGGCCATATCTACAGTTTAAGTGTGGGTTAACCCAAGTTATGTCACCATAGAGTCACTACAGTTACTATGTCACTTGTGTGCATGCCTCCTTGACGTCTTGCCTCAGCAGTCAGGGTACTCACCAGAAGCACTTGTATAGATTCAGAGTGAAGTGCACCATGAATAGATATCCCACTGTCCACTCACTGTATTTTGGGAAGCTTTGGTTTGGCAGTGTATGCTGGGTACCAAATAGGTCAGGCAGGGGTGGTTGTGGCCATGGGATCAAACTTCTCATAATGCATTGTTAACCATCCACTAATTTTATATGTATCCCATACATAAACGTATACAAAATGTTTACACCTTTTTTTCTAAACCCACTAACCTGCCTGGCCCTCCTCACTGTCTGCCATCTCACACAGGATCATGGAGCTTGCATGGCTCTGCACTATTGTCATGAGCGTTTGCACCCAAAGGTGCATGCTCCTTTAGTATTTGCAGATCAGCAAACATACATGTGGGGTGTGACATTATACTCTACATTCTTTATGAAAATATGCTTATGATATGGATATGACATAGCTAATATATACTTTATGCAAGATGGCTGATGTGAGGTATCATTGCAAAACTTAAGACCTATAGACTGTGTTTATCCAATCTGTATGCATGTAACGTTTGTATCTGAGGCTAGAAATATTGCCCATGTCTCTGTATTTAAAATGTGCTCTGTTGGATGAGGCCAGACAATGTTAGTGGCTTATTGAAGGAATCCACAAACACATAAAGATTATCCCAGGAACTGTGAACAATAGTGCTATACAATGGGGACTACTTGACCAAGATCAGATACCTCTATACAGTGGGTGCTGTTTGACCCAGGTCACAGCAAAAGAGCCTTCCAGAAACTGGGGGGAAGAAAGAAAAGGTGGACAATGACAGCCTACAGGAACAACCGGAAACACCTGAGGTACAAAGACTGAATAGTGAGAAATGATTGACCCAGCAATCTGGATGATGGGAAGACAGACACTTCAGCTCACCTCAGCATACTGAGAACGAGAATGATCTGATATGATCAACCACTGAAGAATAATCCAGGTGTGTCTAATATATCTGGTGTCCCCATTATGAAGACATAGGCCTTTTTCTCACTGCTAATAAAACTAATTAGCAGTGAGAAAACAACCCAAGACAAGTTAAGTTTTAACAGTGAAGACAAAGGCTACAATTAAATGAGAGCGCAATGAGGTGACATATGAGTACCACAGTTCGGAGTGTAATTTTGGTGATGATACTTCTTTGCTCATTATGTGTGTGTAACAGTGACAGAAGTGGAAGTCTGTATAAAGCACAATGGCAGATTTTCTGCCTATGATCTTGCTTGTCAAAGGAATTAAGTATTTCACATACTATGTATAATGTTTTTCACTACGGTCAATGTTTTGTGTGCATTCAATGTTTTTTTTTATTAATAGACTGTATGGCCTACAGTGGAAAGTGGAAAGGGACTAATAAATATTTCTTTTTAAATATTAAAAGGATTTTCATTAAGGGTTTTTAATGCAATAGCCATGAAATTCCACTTGCAAAAGGTTTTTTAAACAGTCCTGAAAATATAGGAATGTTGGCTTAATCCAATGGCACTGTAGCAAGGTCGAGACTCACCAGCACAGCGCCTCCTGCTGGTCATCTAGGGAATTAGCTCTCCAATGTACAGAGTGCCTCCTACTGGCCAGTGTACAGAGCCAGGGCCAGTGCAACCACTAGGTGAACTAGGCAGTTGCCTAGGGCGCCAAGTGGTTGGGAGCGCTAAAAAGCGGTGCCCTGGCTCGGAAGGGAGGAGCCGCCTTCCGGAGGCACCGGAGAGCCAGAGCGTTGGCTTGCGGGGGGCAGCGAGCCCCAGCCATGGAGGAGCCGGCGCAGCGCGTGCGGGGGGGGGGGGGTAGCAGCCCTTCAAAGGCGGCGGCGGCGCATGGGGCCCCGAGCCTGTTCCAGGAGGGGCAGCGGCGGCTCACACTCCCGGGAGCTGCAGAGCTGGAGCACGGCGAGGGGGGAGCTGGGGGATGCACGGGGGCCGCCACCCGCATGCATCCCCTGTCTGGGAATTGGTCCTGCTTTAAGCAGGGGGTTGGACTAGATAACCTCCTGAGGTCCCTTCCAACCCTGATGTTCTATGATCTTGCCTTTAGTAAGGCTTTTGATACTGTCTCCCATGACCTTCTCATACACAAACTATGGAAATGAAACCTAGATGAACATAACAATAAATAAGATGGGCATAATGAGTGGGGTTCTCCAAGGATCAGCTGTGGATATGTTTCTATTCAAAATCTTAATGATTGAGATAATGGCATAGAGGACACTTATAAAGTTTGTGAAAATTTAAGGTCTAGAAAACATGACCTATGAGGGAAGATTTAAATATGATAACAGTTTTCAAGCATGTACAAATAAAGTAGCATCTTTTTACAAAAGCAGTTTCTTACAATCTATACGTATCACTAACTGCTACAGAGAGCACGTTTCTACAGGTAGCAATTTCACATACACTATCGTGCAAGAAACTGCTAGCTGTAGGCATTTGCTACATCAGGTAGCAGTTTAATACAATAGCAGTTTCTTACAATCTACACGTATCGGTAAGTGCTACCGGTAGCACATTCCTACGCGGAGCAGTCTCAGAAACACAGTTTCCAGCTCGGCCCGGCTGAACCCCGGAAGGCAGCAGCCAGGAGGCCGGTGTGACGACACCCCGGGCCAGGGCGGAGCATAAGACCGGGTTCCCGGCTCGCTCTCTGTCACGGTGCAAGCCCCACCTCGCTGCAGAGCCGGGTCCGGAGTCTCCGTTTCCCCTGCCCCGGTGTCTGTGCCGAACCGCTGCCGCCGGTCTCCCCATGGCGAGCTGCTTCCGCGGCCCCCTCCCGGGGCGCCCCTCGCTGCCGCTGTTCCTGCTGCTGCTCCGCGTCTCCCTCGCGCAGGAGAGGGCGGCGGCCACGTCCCTGCTGAGCGGCTATTTCGGGACCAAGTCCCGGTACGAGGAGGTGAATCAGCACCTGCTGCAGGACCCGCTCTCCCTGGGGCCCCCGGACCCGGGGTACCTGCTGCCCTCCGCCGCCTGCGCCCCGCTGCAGCTCCGCGCCCTCATCCGCCACGGCACACGCTTCCCCACCGAGAAGCAGATCCGCAAGCTGGGCCAGCTGCACCGCCTGCTCCGCAGCCAGGAGCGGCCCTGCCCCGCCGCGCAGCAGTTCGCCCACTGGGACATGTGGTACCACCCAGACATGGACGGGAAGCTGGCGCCCAAGGGCCGCCTCGACATGGAGCAGCTGGCCCAGCGTCTGGCCGCCCGCTTCCCCGGCCTGTTCTCCCCGCAGCGCCGCTTCGCCTTCGCCAGCAGCTCCAAGCACCGGTGCGTGGAGAGCAGCGCCGCCTTCCGCAAGGGGCTGCAGCTGGCCCTGCACCGGCAGCTCCCGGCCAGAGGTAACGAAGCGGGAAAGGCTGGCCTGGGTGCCCCGGCACACTCGGGGGGGAATAAAGTGGGGCCCTGGCCTGGGGGCCTTTGGGCCCCAGCACACACTACTGGCGCAGGTAAGGTGGAGCCCTGCCCGGGACTGGCTTACGTGCCCCCAGCACACACGGGGGGGGGCTAAGGTGTGGCCCTGCCTGCCCCCCCTCCCCAGCGCCTGGGGGCCCCCAGCACACACATGATGAGGGGGAGGGTGCCTTCTCCAGCCCTAAAGACCTGTGATAAAATTGGTTTTAAAATGTTGTTGTTGTAGTAGGTAGAGAGGAAAATATGTCTACCCTATAATGGAAACAATCTTAAGAATAGTTCGGTTAGCATGGTTCTCAATAGAATCTCTGCATATCAGGAAAAGCAGCATTAGAGCCCTGCTTGAAATACATACAATTGAAACTAATGTAGTTTTCCATTTCTCTTATTGTGGGCAGGGTTTAAGTCTAATAGATTATAATTAAACTCTTAATTCTGACATCATAACGTTTTGTTTTTTTGTTATAAATTAGGGTATCTGACAGGTTGCCTCCCCATTCAGTCCCCAGACCAACTTTTGTAAAATCTGGCAGGGAATTCTTTAAATTATCTGTTTTTGTGTGTATTATAGGGGTTTTCCGTTAAGAATTGTTTTTCCTTTCAGATATCGAGAATGAAGAGACTGAGATTAATGACAAATTAATGAGGTTTTTTGATCATTGTGAGAAGTTTGTAACCTGTGTAGAAGAGAACGCTACAGCTATGTACGAAGTGGATGCCTTCAAACAGGGTCCTGAGATGAAAAGGGTTTTGGAAAAAATTGCGGCTACCTTGTGTGTACCAGTGCGTGATTTAAATGCAGGTAGCGTACTTATTCTGTTTTTTGATTATTTAACTTGCATAAATGTTGTTTTCTAGGATCTTCAGATAGTTATGAAAAACAAACAGTTTAAAATACTCTTTTATAGGCCTTTGGAAAGATTAGTGAAGGCAGCATGTCATATCACTATTTGAAAAGAACAGCTTTTAAAAATTCCTTCATCTACCGAAGCCAAAGTGCATAGTGTACCCCTGACATAAATGTTGTAATACAAAGTTATAAAGAACCAGTTTTAACAGTTTAATTGAGGAACCCTTCTGGGAGAAGGACCAAAGTACAAAGGAACCCAAAATTCTGGATTACTTTTAAGGAAAAAGGTATAGTTTAAAAAAACTTGGCGAGATAATTTTAGTTTTACCGAATCACATACAAATTCTAGTTTTATTCCACTTTACTTCTGTTAACTTAAATTTCTTAAATACAGTTTTGTGGCAATGAATATTCATTGTCAGTGAACAGTCAGAGAACCTACTGTAGAAAAACCCTTCCCATTTACCCTACGGATCATATTAACGTGATACAAGTTGAATGTCTATACTTCTCAAAATGTTCTTCTCTTGAAGAAAAGGCACAGCTCATAGTCTAAACTAAAACTGGTATAATGTGGTAAATGTTTTTGTTTTTCCACATTGAAACTCTCTAGTATTAAATTCCATCTCCTACACAAATTTTTATAGAAACTCTTATATTAGAATGTCATAACAAAATGCATGAATTGCCTTTGCTGCTATTGAAATAATTGATGCATTCATAATCCTCGAACCTTCAACTAAACTGTAAGTGGACAAGTAGTTGCTAAAATAAGAATGATTAGAGTAGCTGGCAATGCATTGTGCCTAATAGGGAATTTTGTGTAAGCCTATGGGGTCATTGATAGAGAATGTAAGTTGCAGGTTTTTGTTGTTGTTCTACGTAAAACTTGCAAGGAATTGAGTTGGATTTGCTGTCTTAAATCAGAAAAGTAGTGCATTTGTTCTTGCCATCTAGTAGTCCAAATAAGGAGTAAACATAACCTTATTTCTATATCATGTAACTATTGTCTACTGCATAATAATACACACCAGTAGATGTAAATTACTAAACAGGTGATGGTTACACTTGCGTGTCCCTTCTCTGTGAAAGGCTCACAATCTAAGGCCTGATCATATAAACATTTGAGTAGGCCCATAATGCAAAATTGGAGCCTTAGCATACCATACATTATGTGTTTGGGCTCTGGATTGGATGTTATTTTATATTCTTGTTTATATTCTTTCTCATAATAGGAGGGTGATGCTGGGAGTTGTGGTAGAGAGCAAATAAACTTATTTGTCATCTATCACTTATTTATTTGGATTTATTACAGATTTGGTCCAAGTTGCTTTTTTTACTTGTTCGTTCGAGTTAGCTATTAAAAATGTGAATTCTCCTTGGTGCTCACTCTTCAATGAAGAGGATGCTAAGGTAGGTGTTGCATGTATGTAGTATCGTGGCATTAACTTTGTGTAAAGTTGTTCTGGTCAGTTTTGCGTATTTATGTAAACAGTTCGTTATATGGATATTCTTAGAAAAAAGAGGTTTTAGTTTAATGTTTCATTCAGACGCAATTCTGCAATATTAAAGACATTACATGATTTACTACATTTATGAAAAGCAAATCTGAGCATCAATTAGAACATAATGTAACAGAAATACCAATTTTTCTGTGTTAAGTGACCAATCATTTAGACTTCTAAAAGAGAAATGTTTCTCCTCTCTCCTTTTGTCTATCAGGCTTCACTGTGCCTGACAAAAAAAACACTCAAATGTTTGTCTTTTCATCCCTCTCCCCCCAGTTTAAAAAAAAAAAACAAAAAAAGGAACAAAGGTGA